CTATGGCTTTGGATGTAGAGTTCTAAATATATCTGTCAAATCCATCTGGTCCAATGTGTCATTCAAGTCCATTGCTTCTTTAGTGTTGTTTTTTTTTTTTTTTTTTTTTGTCTAGTTGATCTATCCATTGCTGTAAGTGGAGTACTAAACTCCCCTGCCATTAGCACATTCTTATCCATAAGATTGTTTCTGTTTGTGATTAATTGCTTTATGTATTTGAGTGCTCCTGTATTCGGTGTGTAGACATTTATAATTGTTAGCTCTTCCTGATGGATAGACCTTGTAATTAGCATATAATGTCCTTCTTCATTCCTTGTTACTGCCTTTACTTTAAAGTCCAGTTTTTCTTTTTTTTTTTTTTTTTTTTTTTTTTTTTTTTTTTTTTTTTTTTTTTTTTTTTTTTTTTTTTTTTTTTTTTTCAATGTGGGTTAGGGCAGAGAGAGAGAGAGGGAGAAACACAGACTCTGAAACAGGCTCCAGGCTCTGAGCCGGCAGTCAGCACAGAGCCCGACGCGGGGCTCGAACCCACGAACCGCGAGATCATGACCTAANAGAGCCCGACGCGGGGCTCGAACCCACGAACCGCGAGATCATGACCTAAGCGAAAGTCGGAAGCTTAACCAACTAAGCCACCCAGGCGCCCCTAAAGTCCAGTTTTTCTGATACAAGAATAGGTACTCCAGCTTTCTTTTGACTTCCAGTAACATAATATAAATTTCTCCATCCACTTACTTTCAATCTGAAGGTGTCCTCAGGTCTAAAATGAGTTTCTTGTAGAAGGCAAATAGATGGATTTTGGCTTTTCATCCATTCTGCTACCCTATGTCTTTTGATTGGAACATTCAGCCCATTTACCTTCAGTGTTATTATTGAAAAATATGAGTTTAGAGTCATTGTGTTCTTTGCGGGATTTATGTTTGTGGTGGTGTCTCTGGTACCTTGTGTTCCTTGCAACATCTCCCTCATAGAGTCCCCCTCAGGATTTCTTGTAGCCCTGGTTTAGTGGTGACGGATTGTTTTAATATTTGTTTATTTGGGAAGACTTTTATCTCTCCTTCTATTCTGAATGACAGGCTTGCTAGATAGAGGATTCTTGGCTGCATATTTTTTCTGTTCATCACATTGAAGATCTCCTGCCATTCCTTTCTGGCCTGCCTAGTTTCAGTAGATAGGTCTGTCACCACTCTGATAGGTTTCCCTTTGTATGTTAGGGCCCTTTTCTCCCTAGCTGCTTTCAGAATTCTCTCCTTGTTCTTATATTTTGCCAGTTTCACTATGATATGTTGTGCAGAATATAACTCAAGTCACATTGACAGTTGTTCTCTGTGTCTCTTGGATTTCAATGTCTGTTTCCTTCCCCAGATTGGGGAAGTTTTCTGCTATAATTTGTTCCAGGACTCCTTCAGTGCCTTTCCCTCTCTCTTCTTCTTTTGGAATTCCTATGATATGAATATTGTTCTGTTTGATTGTATCACTCAGTTCTCGAACTCTCCTTTTGTGTTTTTGGATAAGTTTATCTCTCTTTTTCTCGACTTCCTCTTTTTTCCATAATTGTGTATTATAACTCACCTATTCTCCCCTCTGCCTCTTCAATCCATGCATTTGACGCCTCCATTTTATTGTGCACCTTATTTATAGCATTTTTAAAAGTTCATCACAACTATTTTTAAGCTCCATAGTCTTTGTAGCAACAGTTTCTCAGATGTCTTTCATGCCTTTTTCAAGCCCAGTGATTAATTTTATGACTATTGTTCTAAATTCTTGTTTAGTTATGCTGCTTGTATCTGTTTTAGCAGTTCTTTAGCTCTCATTTCTTCCTGGAATTTCTTTGGAGGAGAGGTCTTCTGTTTTGTCGTTTTGGCTAGCTTTCTGTCTCTTGTTAGTTTTAAAAGCTTGTTATGCACACTGCACCTCTGAGTATTGCTGTATTAAAGAAGGCTCTTTTATTGCCCAGGGTCTGTCTGTTCAGGAAGTGTTCTTTGAATGGTGTCTCTTGGTCTCTCTTGTTGAGACTTTGGTTATTTTATTTCCCTACTCCTATTGGTATTTGGGACTCGCCACCATGTGCACTTTGGCTTGTTTTTTGAGGTAGCTCTGGAAAAGCAAACAGACAGACAACCACAGAGGGAACAAAGGCCCACAAATGCACAGACAAATCCAACAAACAAGCTAACCAAATGGGAAAAAGAAAAAGAAGAAAAAAGAAAAAAAGGGAAAAAAGGAGGAAAAACAAGTAATAAAAATAAAAAAGAAGAAAGAAAAATGAAAGGAAAAAAGAAAAAAACAAAAACAAAGAACAGGGTGTCTGCAGTGCTGATGGAAGAGCTTATACAAAGAGAGAAATGACAGGGTGGGAAGAAAGCGAAATTGGATGATGACCAGGCAGAGAGACTAAGAGGAGAATATGATGAGAGGTGAGGAGAAGGAATCGAAGATAATGTTACTCAGAGAAGCTATATAGTTTGTTTACTCCAGAGAGAGAGAGAGATAGAGAGGTAGTGGTGGAGGTGTAGATTGTACATCTAGAGAATGGATTAAATGTGACTGTTTAAGCAAACCAATGACCAGAGTTCCCAGACCAGTAGAGGGGAGCAACAGGATTGAGACAAGGGAAAATATATCTGAATATACAGAGTTCATCTAGAATTAATCATGGCAGTGCATCCATGTTGGTCTTGCCCTGGGCTCCCGTTAAAACAACAACAACAACAACAACAACAACAACAACCCAGCTCTCTGGCGGGGATGGACATGGTTTGGTGCAGGTAGGTCTTAGCCTCCACTCTGTCCTGTGGGCTGCTCCCTGAGGTCTGGCTGTGGTGGTTGTGGGGAGAAAAATGGCCGTGCCCCAGTCCCTTTCAGACTGTTGTAAATCACTCTTTTGGGTCCAATCTCCCTGTGCTGTGGGTGTAGCCATGGCGGTCTGCACTCTATGTCCCAAGCCCTGCCTCGTTTCCATATCTCAATCCACGCGCTTTATTGATACCGCCTGAAATATAAACCCGCAGGCTGAGTCCTTCTGAGCAGCTTCAAGCCCACCGCCTCCCCACTGAGGGTTGAGCTGGGCCTCTTCCCTGACCAATTGGGCTGGGAGTGCACTGGAGAAGTTTCTCCTGTCCCCTCCTGGGACCAGGACTTTCATCTCAAAGTCAGCACCACAGCTAGAAACCAGATCTGAGGTTTTTCTCTTCTCCAGGGACATGGACAGTTCTTTGAGCAGTTTCAGCTACTCTTTCTTTTCCCCTCGACTCACTGTGGCTCCTGGCACTGGGGACGCCTTTCTCTCCCTCCGAGTCTCTGGGTTCCAGCCAGCCCATTTTTATCTTCCCCGGTTTGTACTCATGTATCTATAAGGTTTTTTTGTTTGTTTTTCCCTTTCACAGCAAACTCTGTCTCCTCTTCCTCCCAAACTCCTTCCATTCTGTAAGGGTTCCTATGGCTTCAGGCCTTCTCCATTGAGAGATGGGGGTGAGTGAGGTGTATGGAGCTCCCTACTTCTCCGCCATCTTGCCAATTAACCAATTTTATAAAAGATCTAATTTTGGTTGTTTTTTTATATTACATAATTATGAAAATTATACAGTAAATTATATACAGCAACTCTAGGAGACAGATAAAATCTCCAGTTACAAATGAACGGCATACATGGGATATCCAACATGTGAGTCATCAAGAAATGCAGTACTGAACAAATAATGGTGACTACTAATTTTTCGTTTTTTTCTAATTGTTGTGAAATGTTTCATTTTCTATAATAATTTTCTCTTCCTAGCTTGGCCCTAGAATTATAATTTTTAAAAATTTATCCGATGTTCTATCCCAAAGATTCATTGTAATGTAATGTAGGACAGTGATCAATGTGAGATACATACACACAGTATACATACACCTGTGTGTGTGTGTGTGTGTGTGTGTGTGTGTACACAATGTAAGGTTAGACACTCTGACCACCGGTGTGTTTGTGTAAGTGTGTATGTATACTCACATATGCACACACATTTTGAAGTTCATTGTATGATTTCATCTTATGTTAAGGGTTCTTCAGAGACCTTTTATTTGATACTAATTCTTTCTCCAACTACCACATTATGCTCAAACCTTGGAATGGCTTCCCTTCTTGATATATTTTAATAAAAGAACCATGAGCAACACATACCCTCTATCTTTTCTTTGTAGGCTGTAGATTATCTTGACTTCTATTGCCTGAAGACTTATATCTAATGGAAACATTAAAAATACCATGTCAGGTTCCAGTAGTGTGAAATAGCTGGAAGTTATAATAGATCAAATGGAAGACAGAATTTTACTTTGAAATGAATAATTAAATTCAGAATTCTCTTTGATATCTTAGTGTTGAGGTTAATTAGAGTGCATGGGTTACAGGGAGGCATGATGAAAATAATATTAAATATTATACAACTTGGATATTCATCTGAACTTCACTGTTTATTAGCCTAATGACCTTGGGTAAGACAGCACCAGCCTGACTCGTCACAAGTTGAAGTGTATGGTTACCCATATCTTACTACCCAACTCTTTGTAGTGTTGTCAGGATGAGATGATATATGTGAAAATATCACATAAACAATGAAGCTCAATATTATGGTGACTACTGTAATAGTTAATATGTGCCATGTACTATAGTAAGACTTCTCATAATTTTTACAACAGTTTTATGAGACAAGCAACAATAATATTCCAGTTTTACAGATCAGAAAGGTGAGGTTCAGAGTGTGAAGGACATATGATTGAGTTCACACTATAGGTGAGTGGGAAAGGCTAGATTTGGATACTGGTCTGTCTGACACTAGACTTGACACTCATAATTACACAGTGTTTGTCACTCACTTGAATAATAATTGCTACAGAGAGTTATGCATGGAAATGAAATTCTCTTTATTATCACATCTGAATTCTAAATGTGAAAATGAAATAATATTATTTTTTCCTAAAAACAGAATGCATGGAGTTCTAACTATCTGAATGTGTTCTTCCCTTAGAATTTAATTATCCTGGATCCACTCACAGTGACTGAGGAAGAAATAAGACCATCACTAGAAAAACGTCTTGAAGCCATTATTAGTGGGGCTGCACTGTTGGCTGACTCTTCCTGCACAAGAGATTTCCATCGGGAACGGATTATCGCAGAATGCAATGCCATTCGCCAGGCTCTCCAGGACCTGCTTTCAGAATATATGAACAATGTAAGTAACTAGTTTTCCACCAACCCCTTACAATGGGTATGTGTTACGGTTCTTTCAGTGTACAAATGTAATAATATACAAATAAGTACATGATTTTATGTGGTTTGGCTTTCTGAGTGGGTTCTACTCACAGAGTACAGCTTTGAAATAGGAATTGCTAGGGATGGGATCCAACAATATATAATTGTTTTATTTGAGGAAGTACTTGAATATTAGTTGAAGAAGAGAATCAGGATTGGAGAAAAGAAACTAGAGTTGTGCACCAATAAAAGGAAAATTTAGGAAAGGGCATGTTGTTCAGGATTACATTGGTAAATAACAAAATTAGAATTTAGATAGTATTAGATAAAGTCAACGCTGCAGAGGTCAGGATTCCTTTTTGAAGGTGTAAAGAGTTCCTGTAGTTTGTAACTTTGGCTCCTAACCTTTTTCACATTTGACATAATGTCATAAATTTTTCCAGTTTTAGTTATTTCTTAGGAATATTATAAATGTCTAAATTTAGGCAAATGCAAAAGTATTTGTTTCAAGATCCTTTTGGTTTAATTTCATATGTATTCATATGTGATATATTCATTTCATATGTACTTTTCTACATCCATCTACACTCAAATCTCATTTCTGTTTTTAAAATGAACAAGAAAGTGTTGAAGACATTGTCAGTCATATATTGGTCATGAAGCCACCTTAAATAATAGAGCTAAATAAAATGAAGTATTTATAATATATATAAAATATTTTGTTCATCTTTATAAATGGAATAATTCAAGAATTATGAAAGTACATTTTGAAAATTATTAGTTACAAATCATGACTTTCGGGGTATGAGTTGAAGATTTAGGATTGTTCAGTATAAGTAATTTATGTGAATAATTGAAATTTGCTAAAATTAGTTAATGAGTTTTAAGGCTCCTTTTGCACATTTGATGTATCTCCATACTCTCAATATTTGATGACTTTGGCTCCTGACCAAAAGTCTTTTGCCAGTCAAGAGATCACAGCTGCAAAGCAGATTTTGTTACTAGGAAGAACATGTTAGTAATGTCATGTCTTGCTTCTGAAGCTAGAATATCTTCATTTTTGGCATATAATATATTCTATTTTTTTATTTCTAGTGTGTTTAAAAAATTTTATGGAAAATTATGACAAAGCAGAAGAAATAGAAAATTATATAAGAAAAGCATGAACCCAGAAAGCATGTATTTTTAAAGACTTTTAAAAAATGTTTGTTTATTTTTGAGAGAGAGAAAGAATGTGAGAAGGAGAAGAGCAGAGAGAGGAAGACACAGAATCTGAAGCAGGCTCCAGGCTCTGAGCTGTCAGCACAGAGCCTGATGTGGGACTTGAACTCACAGACCATGAGATCATGACCTGACTATGGTGGCAAAGCATTAAAGGTCCAGCATGGTGTTCCTTTCTGAGTATGGGGCCCTGAATGCAGTCACAGGCCCCTGAAGATGGTCCTGTACATCATAAATACATAACCACATAAGTGCTTTGATGGCTCTCTTCAAATTTGGCTTAAAAACATTTGAGTTAAAAACTCTTCATACCAAAGGTGAAATGATGAGAGCATTCTGCCCTGGGTGTAATCATTAAGATAGTGCATTGTCTTTAGATATTTGTAAACAGTAATAAAACCAACTAAAAGTTGGTCTGCTTTTTACTATCACCAGACTCTAGCAATTCTAAATGTTAAGTGATAAAGTGTTTTTCTCAAAATCCTTTTGTTTTTATCTAAATTCTAAACAATTACTGTGATTATAATTGACTTTTAATAATATGTATGAATGATTCAAATTTCACATTTTATGATTATCATTTAATAACCATGACATTCCTTAGGCATTTAAACAGCAGATTCAAAATAAACAATGATGACATAATGATTATAAAGGCAAAGAACTAGAAATAGTCACTTCAATTCTGATATTTTGTTATCACTTGGAATTTTTATTTAAATTTAAATTTTTAACAATAAAACAGAATTGGTAGGGGTAATATTTGTTTTACGTAAATGCAAATTTCATGGATGTGAAGTTCATATGTGAAATACTTTATTGAATTTGAGCACTAACTTTGAAATTTGTTCTTTAAAAACTCGTCAATTGCTTTAAAGTTAAAGAACAAATCAGAAAAATAATGATTATTACTGAAAAGTAATTTTGTCATATAGAGGAGAGAGGTGTTTAAATATCTAATTCAGGTATAAAATCTGTGACATGAAGTATATATATGTATATATATATATAGGCCGATTTCTCAAGCACACATAACCTATTTATTTATGTTACTAATATCCTTCTGTTAGGTATGTTGGTTTTAAAACAAGGTAAGTTCTATGTTAGAAGAATGAAGTTGAAAGAAACTCTTTCATTTATAATATGAAAATAATTAAGATCAGAGGTAAGTAGCTTTAAAAAAATCATGTCCAGATAATTACCTTATGTATATTTTTAAGGGTAGACTTAAAAATTTTTTTTCAATTATTTAATTGATTAGATTGCACTACTCTTCATGCTTGATGGAGGCTGTTTTCTTCTACCTTCCTCCTTCCCCTCATATTTCCTTTTCTCCTCTCTGACAAAGGAGAGTAAACACCCCTGAAAAAACATTTCCTTCATTGCACTTCCCATTTTTGGTTCTCATCCCTGTTAGAATTCCTGCATTTACTTGTGTGCCTTCTTTCCTGGACAGGAGCTCTAAGAAAATGAGAGCTATCTCCCTGGCCCTTAGCACAAAGACTTTCAGGTAGCAGGTGCTCAGTGATTATTATTTAGTTACAGGTAAATTGAATTTAGTGCTTGTTTTTTCTTTTTAAAATTAAAATGGACAGTTTGCCTAACGCAATTAATTTATATTTATTTATTATATTTAATAACCATGGAGAAAATATGGGGAGGATTAATGGTAAGAATAGAAACCTAGGAAAGGAAGAAGAGCACAGAGGTGAGAAGTCTGTTCTTTGGGTGATCTTACTGTATTTGTATATTCCTTTCTCTTAGAATATAATGTTAAATACTTGGGGAGGAAGGCATTTTTTTTTCAGGGAATAAAACACTTATGTGTGGATAATATCTGACGATCCTCCCTAATGTTGGTGTAGAAGTGAGACAGAGCAGGAGGAGTTAAATTTATGCAGTGGTGGTCTCCATGATCAGAAACCTATTTACATGTACGTTATATTAACTTTCTATTGAAAGTAAAACCCACTAATAATTTAAAAATATGAATTTGTAGTATTATGAAAAAGCACTACAAAAGCAGTATAATAGTTCCTTTTCATATAAAAGTTCAGAAATTTAGGCTTAATACTAGTATCTGACCTAACAAGTGAATATTGGAATTAAACAGCAGGAAAATCTGCTGGTATGGAAAAACTGTCAGGTATGTTAACAGAACACATTTCAGGTTTATTTTTATTCCAAGTTTATATCACAAATGATGCTTCTTTATAACTATTTCATCAGCTTTAATGAAGGGAAGTGTGCTTTCCTGGTATTAACTGAGCTAAAACCTTTCTCAGAATTTCCTTAAAGATTTTAGGATAGCTCTTGTACTTAAATTCTCAACTTTCCAGTTTAAGGAATTTTGTGTCTCATTTGGTGGGCCTGGTTTGCTTTTCAGATTATTTAGGAGCTTTTCTATTGGGCTCTTGATAAAAAAAATCCTTGGTAATTATTGAGACACAATAAAGATGACTGTGAAAATTTAAAGCAAGATGAGCACTCATCATAGTCTGTGTGTCTTTTATATGAATGTAACTTCAAGGCTTCAAATTTTGTTTGTCTGTTGGGTACAGAGAAGTTCAGCGGTGGGAAATATATGTAGTTTATGTTTTCTCAGGCTCAATCCACGTGATCAGTATGAATCTAGGTGACTTTCCTTTCTTAAATAAATCAGTAAGTCTTAATCATTTTTTTTTTACCGAAGCACTATGTTCAGTAAATTCAATTTCTTGTCACATTAGTAAGAAATTAGGAGGAAATGAAACCAGATGGATCCATAACAGGTAAAACAAACAACCACTTAACATTTCAGTTATTATATATGATTGTTCTAATGTTTTCCATAATATATGGAAATAATTATTTTACATCCATAGGTCAAAATTCTGACCTAAGTTTCACTGGGCTAAAAAAGAAAGTGTTAGAATGCTCCATTCTTTTCTGGAGAATCCATTTCTTTGCCTTTTCCAGCCTCTAGGGGCCATCCATAGGCCTTGGATCACAACCTCTTTCTCATCTTCAGAGACAGCAATGTCACATTTTTCTGACCCTGTTTCTGTCCTCACATCTCCTTCTCTGACTACAGCCAGGATATGTTCTCCACTTTTTAGGAGATTAGACAGGGCCCACCCAGATTACCCAGGAGAGTCATCCCATCTCATGGCTCTTAACCGTAATTACATTTACAAAGTTCCTTTTGCCATGTAAGGTAACATGCTCATAGGTTCTGTGAATTAGGATGTGAGCATCTCTGGGCAGGCCATGACATACACTAATACCAATCTTCCTTAGTCTCTTCTGTGGAATCATAATCCTTATGTTTTAAATCTATTGTGGTTAGCATTTCTTGCTTACTTTAAGCTTTATGCAGGTTGATCACATATCTATTTTATTTACTATTCTATCTCTAGTGCAAGGTACAATACTTGGCATTTAGAAAAAGCTAAATTGTATTTTTTAATAAAAGAATGAATGAAATTATTGCATATTGTATACTCTATATAATGGAGAAACTTCTTCTCTGACATTCAATGAAATGAGTTTTGAGCATCAACTGGATTCATACCATGTACTGCCAGTTATAAAATACCTTATTTTGCAAAGTATAGGCCTCTTCTAAAAATCCATGTGAATATTCAGAAACAAAATATTCTTACCACAGTCTCTTCATTTGTATGCACATCTGGATATATTCCAAAATAAGATTTTTTACTAATCAAAAAATACACTCCAAAGAACATTCAGAATCAAATAAAATCTAACTTTTGTTTT